CTGAAACACACCGGGAAATTCCACAGAGTGTCCAGTTTAGTCTTGTGAACCATCAGAGAAAAATAAAACCATATTAGTTTATTCATTTCATTCATTTCTTTGAAAACAACGTAAATTCAACTGCAAACAAAAACATACAAATCACAATTTAAAAGAAAGGCAGCAGAAGAAGAAAAAATCTTATTATATCTGCCCCTTTTTCTCAAAAAAATTTTTTCAATCAAAAATTATCTACAGATTACAAAAAAGAAAAGATAAATAATTAATAATAAAAGTTTAAATCCTTGAACAACAATTCATACATGTGCATATTTCTCCAGCAAATTAACCTTTATCGTTCTCTTAAACGTGCACATTGATCTGGCATTTTTAATGTCATCTCATCTTCCAGATTATTCCACAATTTAATTCTTTGACTGAAGTAATCCGTTCCTTTAAACTGGTTCCAGTTTTAGGTCTTACAAACATTTCTGCCCCCTTGAGATTCTAACAACTCTCTCTTTTAATAAAATATAATTGGATGTTTGGAGGTAGTGTGTTTTTATGAGCCCTATACATAACAGATAAAATACCATAATCAACCAAATCATAGAATTTCAATCATTTTAACTGATGGAACAAATGCATTCGATGGGTGATAGTAATCCTTTCTGGTGATAATTCTTACGGCTCTTTTCTGTAAAATAAAAATAGGATTTGTAATCGTTTTACATGCTTTTCCCTAAACATCAGTRCAGTAGATATTAGAAAACAGTTTCAGGCACTCTCGTCAAGATTATTGTAGATTAATRACATTTTCAAATTATTGTTTACATATTTACTGTGGTGGGTTAGAAGTTGAAATTTTCTACAATTTCAGCAATATTGAAATGGGTTGTTGACATCAATATTAACAGTACTTTTTTTCCCTCTAAAATGGCACAATTTCTTAGTTTAAACTTATGTTTTATTTCACTGTAAATAAATTTGGGCTCATGAAATTTGTTAAATGCGTTTTATTTTTATTTACTCAATATTTTTCAGAATTTGTATTATATCAACTAAAAATAACCATAAGGAAAGACATTCTAAGTCAAACACATGCTGTACAAACTTGTTGGATTTTCTGTATTTGGGTCCCAGAGCTTGTAGACAACCAAGTAAATCAACTATTATCATCTAAAGCTGACTGTGTAACTGTAAATCAACTATCGACAGACATATAGTATGCACAAAGTGATTATTGCAGTGAGCAGAAACTATTAAAGATGGGGTTTTTTTATGGAGTGTGAGACCAATGGATAGATGACAGTGTTGTATAAAATACCACAAAGTGATACTTGAGTAAAAGTACAAGTATCTTATCAAAAAATACTTTGGTAAAAGTTAAAGTCTCCTTTAGGAATATTACTAGAGTAAAAGTACAAGTATTTTACCAAAAATACTTTGGTAAAAGTTAAAGTCTCCTTTAGGAATATTACTTGAGTAAAAGTCAAAGTATCTGATATTTTTTGTACTTAAGTATTGAAAGTAAAAGTATTGATTTAAAATGAGCAGTTAGATTTTTCTGTAATGACATTTATTAGGAGGTTACCTCCACAAAAAAATGCAGAAATGACCATATTGTATTAAAAATAATTAATTTATGTTAAATTTAGGATGCACTAGTCTGTTTCAGTTTATATATCAAGGCTGCTCAAACCTTTCCCCAAAATGAAAATCTATCTGAAGGCTGCAGCCAAATGCAATAATATAATTCATGAAATACAAATACCTCTTAAGTACAGTCCTTTTATTTTAATGATTATGTCCTGCAGTGTGACATGGTTTGTTTGTTACAAACTAATATGGTATCAGAATTTTATATATTTATACTTCTCATTCAACCACAATTAATGTCACTCTATCTAGAAGGCAAATTTTATATGGATAGTATTTTTTACAATAAGCTGGAATGAAAACAAGCAAAAATTAAATAAAAGTAACAACTTTCTACTTGCCTTTTTTTAATGTAAGGAGTAGAAACAAAGTATTTGTACTTAGTTACTTTACAACTGGGATAGATGAAACACTTTTCTTTGTATCAATGCCTTTGCCATTGAATCATTAACATTTTACTAAATAAGAGGTCAAAATATGTCATTTGAAAAGCAAATTTGAGAATCAAAACTTGAATATCAATCTTCCGTGGTTTTACTCCAGTCCACTAGGTGGCGATCCTACACCTTTACGTTGGTTTGTGAATCATTATGAAGAGTAGCTCCTGCGCATGCGCGACTCTCATGCGGTCATTTGAAGCTTTCTTCAGTCACAATGGACACAGAATCTAAACTGCAGCTGATTAAAACACACATCCGAGCTTTCCCGGACTTTCCCAAGGAAGGAATCCTGTTCAGGTGAGATTTTATGTAAGATTCATGTGGAAGAGTGTTATTATTAGGCAAAAAGAAGATTGATAAATAAAGTACTCAAACAAGTTCGGTTCAGTACTGATGCTTCAATGATTGAGAAATAAAACAATTACGAAACCTAAAGTAAACTTTTAGGGAAGAGCTTTGCGAAAGTTGAAGAAAGACTTCCTCTTTTTTTTTTTCTTTAATCAGGAAGAAACCTTTGAGCCAGCAGAGGACATTAACCTCAGCTGATACACATGAATTACCACTGCAGGGGTTTAAAGATAAATGACAAACAAGCATAAATAATCAGTAACATGTACACATGTAGGTATATAATACAATCTGCCCATTGCTTCATGAGATATTTTGCTAACAGACAGACAAACCGTAACACCCTCCTTTTTGGCTAGGAATTGGGATTAGACACATTATTTAGAAACAAACTTAAATTCAGTCACTGAATAAATTGATGTAATTTTAATTCAAATATTAAAATAAGCATTTTAATATTTATATTTATTACAAAATGCATAACAATCTGTGCATTCAATGTAATAACTACATTTTTTTTATTAAGAAAACCGTACAAATGTGTATAAAGGTTTTGATGCTACTTCTTTAATATAAAGCCATAAGATTTCTGCTATAGAAATCCACATAAACACAGAATCTGCAAACTATATTGTACATGTCATCATATGCTGTTGTTTTATATATACAGTATATGGCCACGAGCTGCAGAAACCATGTATCTTCACAGTCAGTGTTTTATGCATTTTTATTCCTAAAACAACATAAAGTTAATCTTATTTTGTTGATTTTATAAAGTCCTGTGAAGTTGTTTGAACATAATTTGATCCTGGTGGGTGTAAAAGACCACGTCTACATGAGTAACGAGTGTAGTTCTGCTCTGATGGGGGTTCTGTGCCAGGTTTGGATGCTCGCGGCTTCCTGTTTGGACCTCTGCTCGCCCAGAGGCTGGGCCTCGGCTTTGTCCTGGTCAGAAAGAAAGGCAAGCTGCCCGGACCCACCGTGTCTGTTTCCTACGAGCTGGAGTATGGCAAGGTAACTTTATCATCACCCTCGGCTAAACAGGATGAGACACAGTGAGTCTTTTTTTTTTAAATAGAAGATACTGGGCAGCTGTGGCTCAGTCAAGGTTTTGTGCACAATCAGAGCTGTAAGCTCTCAGCGTCTCCTTACCTTTCTCATCATGTGTTTGTGCTCCATCAGTCAGACGCAGAGGTGCAGGAGGATGCAGTGGCTGCAGGGCAGAAGGTTCTGATTATTGATGATCTTCTGGCTACTGGAGGTGAGAAATAATCAGATWCACTCTGCTCATTCTGACCCCTTGTCATACATTTAAAAAGCAAAAAAATCACATGTAATATTTTAAATTATTAAATTTGTCAAACTAAAAATAATGTCCTCAGTGTTTTCCTGACATCATTCTGGGTTTTTGGTTCCTACTGTAATGACCTTAAAGGGGACATGTCAATCAAAATCCACTTTTTTAGCCTCTATATGGCCACATACCCCTCTATCAAACTAGAATGAACCGGGCAGGAAGCTGAAGGGGCGGGGTTTGAAGCATCATTTGAATTTAAAGAGACAGCCTCAAAACAAGTTGTTCCGAGACATGCTTCAGAAAAGGGGCGGGGCTTGTGGAGATACAATAAGGAGGGATTCAGACCAAAGTGTTGCAGTTCCACTTTATGTAGACCCCAGCTGAATGATTTAAATGTGGAAAAGAAGGATTTAAAAGCATAATAGCATACTTGAATAAATACCAGGAATAACCTGGACCTCTGTGTGAATGTGCTGCAGGGACCATGTTCGCAGCCTGTGAGCTGATGAGGAAGCTGCAGGCCCAGGTCCTGGGCTGCATGGTGGTTGTCGAGCTCAAGGATCTGAACGGGGTGGACAGACTGAAACCACACAAAGTGTTCTCTCTGATTCAGTACTGAGGAAACACCACGCTCCACAGAGAGGACCGGGAGTTAACGTTTCTGACTGATTCACCTTGTGTTGGTGCTCTGACAGCAGGGCTCGTGTCTGAGCTCTGCTTCACTCCAGAGACTGAAAACATGTGGGACAAAAGGAAATGGAGCATGAAGACAAGAGGTAAACAGGATTTTCTKTAGAATCCTAAATGAATAAAAACATACTCCATGTGTATATTTTATTCTTTAGGAAAGCCTGTTTCCTCTTTAACTTTTTTTTAAAAAGTGACGACTTGTGTTCTGTTTAAATTAACTGAGCAAGCAATAGTAATTGCAATATATTTTTTATGTTCTTATCAAACCTGCATGTTGGAGGAACTCCATATGTTGCTGAAAGCAAACACCAGCTTTACAAAGCGATATTCAGACATTTGTGTCTGAGTTAAATCCTCTAACAGATGTTTGAAGCTACTCCTGGTTAACAGGAGTGATGAGATGCATCGAGACCAACATTGAATAGTTGCTTCAGAGATTCATGTGCCAGTTTCAATCTAATCTACTTGCACATGAAAGCATTTTGTTCTTAATTCTGGCAGAAAAACTGCTTTGACATGTAATTACTTCTTTTAAAGGAAACTATGCTACAGATAAAACTGTAATAATTAGGACTATGATGTAAAATCAGTTCATTTATGAAATAAATGACTTGTGTTGCTTTAACAACTTTGGGTCACGTCTGGTTTTCAAAATGTGGAAGAGGTTCTTTATATATTTCAATTCAGTTCAATTCAACAACTTTATTGTCATTCAGGATTGTGCAGTTTACCATACAAAACTGAACAAAGTTTCATTTCTCTACAACAATATGGTGATGGTGCATAATCTAGAAACTTCAAGGTGCAGTTCTTGTGCAGTTACAGTAGGTTATACAGTTATAGTAGACAGAATTAGAAAATGAGCCTGTATATACATATAAATACAGTATGTGTGTGGGTACAGTTGTACACATGTATTAGTATTTTCCTGCATGTGTGTGAATATGTGACTGTGTTTTTGTGGCAATGTGCATATGTCATTGCAGTCACTTTGTTAGTAACGTGAGTTCAGAARTATTTTTTTTAAATCATTACTTTTACTTTGTTACATTTAAAACCTAAAAATGATACTTTTACATCTYTACTTTAGTTTAACGCCTAGTTACTCGTTACTAAATTAAAAATGTTCGAACTCATAATGAAAGGAGTCTAAAAGAATGAAGTGTTCAACCTAGTCAAGTCAACTGGTTTCACTAAACCTATAGATTAAATATGAAGCAATAT